TTTTTTTAATGAGTATCAAAATACTCGAGTACCAAAAATAGGCGACTCGGCACATCACTAGTTGTGAGTCGAGTGGTGAATATGCTGGCTATCTGTTGGGGTTGTATGTATGTATGTATGTATATCTTGGCTGCAACTAGATAGTGATTTGAGTCAATAGGTGTGTACTCGTACGCCCAACTATCTAAAGTTTTAGAAAACTTTTACTGGTTTTGCGTTCTCGTACCCAAAAAACTTGCAAAGTAGGGGAAATTGAGAGAGCAAAATGTGAAAGAGAGCTGCAAATTTCTGCTGGAAAAATTGTTCCCAGCTAAAACTTGCAAGTAAGAAAATCAGCTGATCACAAACACATGTTTGTAAATAAACAAAAGAAAATATGGCCTTTTTGAGTTATTTATTGCAAATTTTATTATTAATGCTAGTATACAACGAAAAAGTGAGTAAATTTAATAAGCACAACGTTTGTTGAGTTTATTTTTCGTTAATTTGCTATTAATCTCCAGTTGGTTTACTCTAGTGTGTGCTGACTATGGTTGCCGTATGACATTTTTCGTTTGTACCACAATTTTCCTTTAAACATACCAAACTAGATTTAAATGCAGCATGCTGAAATGTTTTTTTGCTGAAGTTTTCGGTTTTGGTAGGTTGATTGTTGAAATGAATTTTATAATTTTAAAGCTACATATTTAGCTATGTCTATTAAATTTCTTTTGGATCAATGATGAGTGTTTCGAGGAGATACTCTTGTTTTTGAATGCGTCACCATGTGATATCACAAGTAATTATGAGAAAAATAACTTATTCATTCCGATATAATTAAACCGTATTTTAAAAAGGGTAAAACTATTCAAATGTATAAAATGCCAAATCGGAGGAAAATGCACCAAGCAGAAAATAAATTGCCAAATTAATCACCAGTGGCAACTGTGCAAGTGATCAGCTGTTTCGAAGGGTGCAAGTTTTTGCAAATTTTGCGTTCTCGTACTTTTGTTGATATTTCGTCTCTTCGAGAGCGAATGCTGCTAAATTCTCAGAACTTTTGCTGCTGGAGAATTTTGTCCTCTCTATACGAGTACACACCTAATGTTTGGTCCTCGGATCCTACGTATATCTAAAACACTGGAAGCGTGCCTTTTGTCTATCACGAAATGGTCTACATTTGAAAAAAAAGTCGCTTACGTTATTTTGGCCGTTAGGGCTGGATATGTGTTTGGTTTCTCGTTTTTCGTTATGGAGACAGCGCCACTTTATTGTGGTAAAGCCAAATGTGTATATGAACATATATGTATGTGAAGTGAATGGGAATCAAGATTTTAATCGATGTGAGGTTTATGGTAGTTTTGAACAACGTTAAGCGAAAGATTTAGCAATACAAATGGCTAAGTTTACGATTTTCGTTTTTATTATGGCGTTTTATTTTCAACCAATAACTTTTGCCTTCTCATTGCCATCTGCGCACAAATACTAAGAAGAGGGCAACAAAAAGGCAAAATTTTTTGTAGAAAAGAAACCGCCATTAGGGTTTTGATGTGTTTTCCAGAAGTTGGACGGTTACTCTTTCGAGCTCCGACACCCTTTTAAAAATACGCTTTTGTTTAAAAAACCAGAACTAATCTTCAGTCCATTATAAAATCAAATGGCACCCGCTGCTGTTTGAACTTCTGCCACGCGTTGTATCGCAGGTTCTGTTAGTAATTTAATTTAAAAAAAAGAATGCAAAATTCTACAATTTAGCAAAAAACGCATTCCGGAAGAGAAATTAAATGTTTCAATGCAATGCAAGCCCTCGACTTAGTTATATAAAGCACATATACAACGTTTGAGCGTAATTCCACCCCATTCAAGTAAATTGGCATTGTAGAAATGACAGCACAGTCATTGTGCAACGAAAGAGATTGTATGAAAAAATAAATAAATAAAACGAAAATAAAAGAAAAAGCAAAAATAAAAAAAATCACTACCTGTCAGCTAAACAAATCTGCACTGCCACTAGCTGCACCAGCCGGTTCCAGCTGATAGCTGCATAGCCAGCTGAGTATACCAGCCGCCACAGCCCGGAAGACAGTTACTATGTATGTATGTATGTATGCTTGCATATGTACACATGCAATGACAACTGTTAGTGCTATAACGGAAAAGTCTTGCAGTTTTTTTTTTTACTCATACTTCCCCACTTTTTTTGTTGCAGTTCATAAGCGTGTTAGGCCCCATGGCATTGTGGCAAATAGTATTGAGGCATGCGAAATAATCCATTACGAGTGTTCGCCAAGCCTCCAAGTGATAGTGGCTTAATTTGATGTCGGCAAATATTCACACGCAAGCATACATACATACATACATTCAAGCAGATTAACATATTTCTGAAAGTCAATAAATCTGCCGTTTTATTATCATTACCATACACTTCCCAGCTATTCAAATTTTCATTTATGGCGTTTATGGCTGTTGGCGCTCATTGTGCGCTATAAAAGGCGGCACCCAAGTTTCTCCCTAGCAAATGAGCGTTTATGTATGCACATATGTATGTATGTTAGTGTGCATGCGAAATGGCGCCCCCTATTTCTGTAATAATATTTTTTTACAACTATTTTTCAAAGCTTTTCATTTTTAAGGGCTAATTTTTGCTAAGCCTGTC